GGGGACTCCAAGAGGGCCTCAAGATGGCCCAAGATGGCCCCAAGACGGCCCCAAGACAACCCAAGATGGTCCCAAGAGGGCCCGTAAGGCCCCCAAGACGGCTCAAGGGGGCCCCAAGAGGACTCGAAAGAGCGCCTCCAGGAGCCAAACTCTTGAGTTTCCGTTGGTTTTTGAAAGACTTTAGCGTTCTCGCCTTTCTCGGCTCTCAGAAGACCATGACGGCCCAAGCAGCCTCCCAGAAGACCCCAAGATGGCCAAAGCGGCCCCCAAAGGTGCCCCAAGACGGCCCAAAGAGGCCCCCAGGACGGTCCTAAAGGCCCCAAAGACAGCCTAAGAGGACTCCAAGAGAGCCCCACGGCGGCCCCACAGGAGGGCCTCCGAAGGAGCCAAACGGCGCAAGAGCGCCGCAATACGGCCCAAGACGCCCCCAAGAGGCCCCAAGAAGCCCCAAAGAAGACCCCAAGGGGCCCCAAGAAGCCCACAAGAGGCATCCGAGAGGCCCCAAAGAGGCTTCCACCATGCCCTACAATGTCTGGACTGCACGTGCTCCGGACGCGCACCCCGCGAAGCGAAAGGAATTCGCCCGCCCACCTGGCTGAGGGGCGCCCCCTCAATCCCTCCCCAGAAGCCCCCGCGATTCTGCCGCCCGGCTGCGCCCAAGCCCCTTTTCGATCCCCGAGACGCCTCCAACACGGCTTCCACGACGAGCTCGATTTTCAGATTGTTCTGAGGACGCCCCCGTCGGAGCCCTTCTTGGCCTTGAGAATCCGCTCCTGGAGCCCTCGGGAGCGCCTTTGTGGCCGGTTCTCGCCGAAAAGCTGGTATGCCAAAAAGTATAGCAAAGACATGGTTCTTCACGGTTTTCGCTTTCCCGGGGGTGACCTGGACGTTTCTTACAACTGCGTTTCGGTCTCGTCTGGGGAATTTGAATTTTTTCAAATTTGGACGCCGTTTTTGGGCGCGCTCCGGGGTCCATTTTGGAAGATTCTAGGCCCCACTTGGGCCCCATCTTGCAGTAAAACCGGCTTGGTTTTTACTGCAAGACGGACGGGGCGGCCCAAGAGGCCGCCAAGAGGGCTCCAAGACGTTCCAAGAAGGTTACAAGATCGATCGCTCCAAGACGGCTCAAGAGAGCGCCAAAAAGGCCCCAATATTGCCAAAGAAGGGCTCCAAGGTGGCCCAAGAGGCCCCCAGGACGGCGCAAGAGGGGCCCAATAGGAGGAGCCCGAACAAACTTTTTGAGCCCTCCGAGCCCAAGAGACCCAAGAAGCCTCCAAGAAGCCCGGAGACGCCCCCGACAGGCCCAGAAGAGTCCCCCTAAAATCCTGGGCTGTCCCTGGCAAGTTCCCGGCAGACCTACGCGAATCTCTGGGACACGGATGCCGGAACGCCTGGCACCTCTTGAATCCACCCGCCCACCAGGCTGGAGGGGCGTGTGGGACTGCACTGTGGGAGCTCCATGCACGGCTTTTCAGTTCCCGACCGGTAGCGGCGATGCCCATCCTCGCGCCCCAAGACGGCTGCCAAACGGCGCCGAGGACAGTCTCGAATGCCACACCGCTTCCGACACGCAGCCGCCGTCGGGTACCCTGCTTCACCTTCCGAATGCGCTGCCGGGGACCTCGAGAGTGCCGCTTGGCCCCACCTCGCCTACAACTGGGACGCGTCAAAACTCCAAGAAACCCTCGGATTTTGAAGACTCTCGTTTCGCCAGAGGTCGCCCAAATGCCTCTTGTGTTTTTTTCGGGCTTGTATTTGTCGATACGTCAACTTCGACGTCGTTTCTGGACTCAATGAAGGGTCAATGTTGGACGCTCCTGGCTTCACGTCGGCCCGAACAAAAAACCCAAACCGGCCCCAAACCAGCCCGATTTCCAATGGCATTCCGACGGAGTTACGGCCCAACACGGACGTGCTGTCGCTGCGACCGTTCAACGCCCGCCTGAGCCGCATTGGTCCCTGCTTGGCTCCTTTTAGGCAGCGTTCGGGCCGGTTTTGGTTACGTAATCTTGAGCAGTGTTCGGGTCATTTCTGGCCTCATGTTGTGGACAATAAACACGGGCCCAGAGAGCCAACGTCCAAATCACTGATCCGTCGGTGCTGATGACGGGACGACGACCAAACGGCAAATCTACGATCGATCAGCCACGCGGCATTTCTGAGCCTAACAGGCGATGGGTTGGGAATGGCAATGGAGCGCAGACAACAACAAAACACACCTGCGGGGGTCTTGTACGATTTTCTGCATGTGTTCACCTCGTGGTGGAGCCGTCTTCGCCCCGTGTGGCGAGAACTGGATGTTCTCGCCGGGCCCCGGGACCGTCGGCAAAAATACTCGGGATTGAAGCCGGTCCTGGTGAGTGGGGCGAAACTTCTACGGGGTCCGCGTTATCGACAAACCTAATGAGTCGATGGTCAGGGGAGGGCGCTCAGCTTCAACTGTCGGGGGGCGCGACCCCATTTTCACGCAGCAGACAGGGGAAGGGTGGCAACGGCGGGGGAGAGGGACCCTTGAGCCAGCCTGCGCACCGAGGGATGGGGGGAGGGGGGAATGCAGGAGGGTATGGCAGAAAATCGACCCTCACAAGGAGCACCCCTTGCAAGCGAAGCACTGCAGCAAACTGACCTGAGGAAGGAAACGAGCACGACAGGACTGGCTCGCAAATGCCAAGGAGTGCAGGGTCAGCGCCAAAATGCGTATGGGGCATCGGTTGGCTTCCCCTCCCGCGAGGAGGCCGGCGAGGGAAAAGGGTTTCTGTTGTGCCCGCGCCTGCGGACGCTGAAGAAGCCAGCTGCAAGAGGGAGGGGGGGCAGCTGAGACAAAGGAGGACGAAGCTCCTCCTCCCTGACGCTCCTCCATCTGCACGGTTCCCCCCAGGGCCGTAGGCGACCCGCGGAGGATGGATAAGAGGAGGAGGAGGAGGAGGAGGAGGAGGAGGAGGAGGAGGAGGAGGAGGAGGAGGAGGAGGGGAGGATGAGGAGGAGGAGGAGGAGGAGGAGGCGGAGGACGGGAAGGGGGAAGAGGCGATGGAGGGGAGGAGGAGGAGGAGGAGGGGAGGAGGAGAGGGAGGAGGAGGAGGAGGAGGATGATGATGATAATGATGATGATGATGATGAGGGAGGAGGAGGAGGAGGAGGAGGAGCAGCAGCAGGAGGAGCAGCAGGAGGAGCAGGAGGAGGAGGAGGAGGAGGAGGAGGAGGAGGAGGAGGAGGAGTCTTGGGGTGGGGGGGGCGCGCGTCGTGCCCACCCACCCGACCTCGGGCGCTCCAGTCGGCCGAGCGCGGCGCGCGGCTGCGGCCGTCGCCCGACGGCCGCCCCGCGCCCCCTCGCGGCCGCTGCAGAGACTCAGGCCCGCGCGGACGCGGCCGCCAGCGCCGCCCTCTCGCCCGCGGGCCGGCTGTCTGCGCCGAGCGGGCGAGGGGCTTTCCATGCTCGCGCGCCACTCTGCTCGCGTGACGGTGCGAGCCTGGTTTGGCTGGCTGCCCGTCGGTCGCCCCGCTGGTCCTCTTGGCCGCCCTGAAGCCATCCTGCTTGTCGTCTTTCGCAGCTGCGGCTGCGCTTGCCTCTGCTGCGCGGTGGGCAGCGGCGCGGGCCGTCTGCCCCAGTCTGCTCCCCTGCTCCGCCAGCCCCTCCTCGGTGCGCATGGTCGCCATGGCACCTTCCTTGGCCACGGTCGGCCCCTGCGCGGTCTCCTCTGGGCTGCGCGGGTACCCAGCCGCCTCCTCCTGGCTGGTCCCCCCCCTCGGCGAACCTGGCAGCGTCTTCGATGCAGGTCTGGAGCCTGGCGGTTCTCGCTCTAGAGGGACCGCTGTATCCTATCCTGCGCAGCGTGCTGGGGCCGTCCTCAAGCCTGTTGCGCCAGCCCTGGTCACACCTGCTGGCGGTGGGGTTTGGGGCGCGGGGAGTGGCCGCCCTCCCCCTCCCACGCCTGACCGCCCTGGGGATCTTTCACGCATGTCCCCCATCGCGACCGTCCAGCCCTTGGCCCTCCGACCGCAGAGGGAATGTGCCTCGCCTGCCCCCTCGCGGGTTAGATGCATTTCGTGGCGTGGGCTTTGGCGGCAAGCCAGGCCAGTCTTCGCCACCAGAACAACATCCAACCGCTGAAGGCCCCGCGCGGCCGCGCGACGGCGTGCAACCTGGAGCAGAATGGCAGCAGGGCCATCAGGCGGCTCTCCCAGACCGTCAGCGGCAGGCTGGCGAACCGTGGCCATGGCCTCTGCCCCCAGGGTGGCGGCCGCATTTGCCGCCGCGGCAACCCGCCCGACGGCGGCGCCACTATGAGGAACCGGGCTGGAGAAGGGCATCGGCCGCCCGCCCGTCGGCGGCCCTCGATCCAGCTCTGGGCCTGCGGCGCTAAAGCTCTGGCCTCGTCGCCGCTGGCGCGGTTCCAGCGCTGAGGGGGCGGCTTCCGCTCCCAGCCGCTGTGTGGGGGCTGCCGCTGCGTGACAACCACTCCGCTCGCTTCGTGCTCATGTGTCGTGGCGCTGCTCCAGGCGCGGGGCCTGCGTGGGGCTGGGCCGCCCCTGTTGCGGCGGCGGCGCCTGCCAGCCCCACTGCAAGCGCTAGGGCTGTGCCTGGCGGGCCTGCTGCGTTGACGCTGTCGTCGTCTTGCTGGGGCGGGGCTGCCTCGCCTTCCCATTCACGTTGGCGTACATGTTCAGCCGCGTCCTCAGAATCGGGTGCCAGCCGTCGACGTCCCGCGCTGCTGTAATCAAATGACCAGGCATTGCCAGTCGGGGCCTCGTCACTTGAAAAGGTGCCGTCTTGGGGTGGCTGAGGCCCGCCGCCCGCGGTAGTGACCCCTCCGTGTTCTGACTCCTCTGCGAGGCTGGGTAGGTCAGCAGGCTTGGTGCACTCATCGCTTCTTGCGGCCGGTGCCTCCTCTGGCTCGGTCAGGTTGCAGCAACTGGAGCTGTTGGGGTAGAAGGAGTCCCCTCCGTCGGGAACAGGCACTGCTGGGCCATCTTCGCGGAAAACCCCCAACCCTGGCTAGCGTTCACACCGCGTCGCCGAAGTCCGCGATGCTTCCCATGTTCTTGACGATGCGGGCTCGGGCATTGGTCCTCGGCTTGATCTTGCGCCCGTTCTGCTGGTCGGCTGGCACTGGGGTGCCGTCTGACCACTGCGTTTTTCCAGGCATCGGCGGTCGTCGGTTTCGAAGCCTGTCCAGCTGGTGCTTGTCAGTGGGCGTCTTCCAACAACGGCAGGGGAGCTTGAGTCGCAGTACTCGGCGATTGCCATTTGTCTTGGGTGACCCCGTGGCCCCGTATGTCCGGCGCCAGCATTGGCCGTGGAGGTAGCTGGGGTTGTGGCTGGAGTGGATCGGCCCGTTCGGCAGCATTTTGGCGTATTCGGACTTCTTGACTGGCGTGGCGCGGTCGTGCATGTTGGTAACCATGGGCATGGAGCGGCAGGGGTTGTTCTGCATCCAGTCCGTGAGCGAGTACTTACCATGCCCCTCGCCACTCCAAGCAGATCCATTTGCCATCGGTGCGCTTGTGCATGCAGTGCCCAGTGGCCGCCTCCAGCTGCTTGCGGTGCTCAAAAGATTGCGCATGCGCTCGTGCACGACGGTCCTGCTCCAACTTAGGGTGCCCCAGACTGGCCAGCTGTGCAGCGGCCGCGCCAATGCGCTGATGGACTCGTCGCAATAGCCGTTCACGCTGTGATGGGGCCATCACCAGTGGGGCAATGGAAATGGCCGCGATCTCGGCGCCTCGCTGCGCATAAGAGTCGGCCATCTCATTGCCTCTCGTGGCGCCCATGGGCTGCCGCGTCCTCCTGAAAGTGGGGATGCCGACGTGGGAATTGCACTTGTTGGCCGTGGCGCCCGCGATGCCCCCTTCACCTTTACCAATGACTCTGCGTAGCCTGGCCCACCAGCAGGCCACCTGTCCGCTCGGGTTCATGTAGCTGAGGCTGCGCCATCCGCCAACGAGCACCCAGGAGTCCGAGATTGTGTCGACGGGCCCTCTTGTGAGCTTCAATGTCCACGCGAGGGCGGCTGGCCCAACTGCTCCGATGGTTGACCCCCGTCGCGAATAGCACGCCTCGTACAGGATGTAACCTTCAGTTCCTGGCGACAGCTCCAGTGCAACGCCCCAGCCCGCACGTGCCGTGCGTGGGTCCGACGTCGTCACAGACCATAGGTGAATGCCCGTGTGGCTGTGGTCGCACCTCGTTCCCAAGTCACGCTCGCGTCGCTGACCGCCCAGCGCACGTCTTCCAGGCTGCCCCGAGGCGGAGGTGGGTCAACTGGGCGCACTTCCCCGGGCAGTAAGCCATGCACCAAGAACGCCGTCTCCATTGAGTCGTCCGGCGCTGACAGGGCTCTGGGGCGCAGGTCGTTGGCGTTGTCGGTCCAGAGGTGGTCGATCTCCTTGGTGGTTGGGCACTCGTAGATGCGGTGGGGCGGCGCGTCGTGGACCCCCAGCTCACATCGCGCACGTGTGGGTGTCGTCTTGCTCCCCGCGGCGCGGCGCTTTGAAAGGCCAAGATGGCAGCGCACGCTGCCGCTCCGAGGGATCCAGCTTCCTGGCGTCGTTCATGTTTGCGGAAATGCATGCCGCTCGCCTACAGACTACGAACACCAGCCCGGCGTTGAAGTCTTTGGCCTGGCTTGCCTCTAGAGACATGCTGCTGCCACCTCCTCAATAGCAGCCTCGACTTCAACTAGGTCCGCAGAGTCGTTGCCGGTGGCCTGCCACTGGCCGCCCGCGCGGCCCGCCCAGAGGTCGGGCTCAGGTGCCGACCATCCGAGGAGCTTGAGCGAGAGCTGCATAGCGGCCAAGGGCCCAGTGGCTGCTTGCCAGCACCCTCGCTTAGTGGCCTTGCTCAAGTGCTCATTGATGGCGCGCCAACCCCCGCGGAAATGGTCGTGTAAGTCGGTGTAGCTTCGCCACATCTGGACCCGCTCGCGGACCTGCCCGATGACGTTGACCGTCCACGGTTCCACATCGCCGTGGACCTGGAGGACGGTCGCGGTGCAGCGGCGCCCTGTTGTGATGCCCGCCATGGCCGCTGCCTCCGCTCGGGCGCGCTGGATCTCGCGGGGCGTCATCCACGCGGCTGCCTGCTCGTGCTGCTGATTGGCCCCGGCGTTGGCGCGGCATGGGCTGGCTGCTCTCCGTCTCCAGCGGGCCGCACGTGTGAACAGCCCGCCTCGGCGCTCGCGTTGCCTGGCCAGGGCTGCGCGCTTGTGCTGCGCGACCTTCCGCCTGCGACCCCCCCGTGGCCGCGTCGCAGCCCGAGCCCTTCATGATGGTGGCCAGGGTCAGGCCGAGCCCGTGGTCCGCAGCTACCTGGCCAACTGCGCCTCTCACGGCGGCCGACGTGGACAGGATGGCCGACTTGCTGGAGATTGGCAGCTGGTCGTTCTCGCAGCGCGTGAGGGTCGCCGCGGCACTGGCATTCAGCTGGTGTGCCACGATGCCGGCGTGGTCCTCCGCTCGGATCTGAATGTCATCCACGTGCTGTCGGGGCCGCGCCTCAGGGGCCTGCTGGCGGGCGTGCTCCAAGATGTCGGCAGCGCCATGCGAGCCGAGTAGTTGGCGTGGACGCAGCCTGCCACGATGCTGTTGCACGGCGCCACGGGCGGCCCGCAAGCACCTCCTGCACGTACCAGTAGGGGCGCCACATACATCAGGGTGCACATGTGCAGCTCAACTGGAGGTACTCCACGGCTACGGCCTCGTGGATCAGCTTGGTTAGGCTGATGTTGTCGTAGAACTTCTCCAGATCCAGGAGGAGACTGGCCCAGGCTACAGCAGAGAGCCCACGGGCAGCGGCCTCATCCAGGCAGGCCGCCACCAGGAAGGCCTGGAGGGCCGAGTTGCCTGCCACCGCTGCGTCCCAGAATGCCGCCATGTCGTCGCACCACTGACCGATCTCTGTCTTGGTGAGGCGGCACCATATCCTGACCACCGCGGGGAAGAGGCCGATGGGTCTCTCTTCCCCTGCTACCACGCTGTCGCTCTGCCTCAGCAGCTGGTGCCAGACATGGCAGCACCGGTGCGGCCAGGCCAGCATCTTCTCGCACTCGTTGATGATGTCAACCAGGATCGCAGTTGGCGCGCTGGTGACGAGAGCCAGGATCTCGGTAGGACTCCACTGGTCGCTACCTCGCCCCGTCTTCTTTTTGAACTGCCTGAGCGCCTTGTCCAGGTCCTCACAAGTGTTATCGGTGCGCATCTGGTTCGCCTGGTGTGCCCTCTCGCGAAGCTCGTCCATGGTCAGCTTCAGGTCCGAAGAATCAGTGCCCCGTTGCCACCGTGCTCCCCAAGCTGAGGCCCGTCAGTTAGCGCCTTCTTGCAAGTCCCCAGCAGCTGCGCCAGTAGCGGGCTCGATCGTGACCTCGCTGAGTTCCTTGCGCTTGGGCTTGCTGAGGTACATGTGCCCCTCGCCCATGGATCCCTGCAGGGCTTGCTCTGCCCAGTGGCGCACCGAGGTCTTGGTCGCCTGCCACGCCTTCTTGTCCTTCGCCTCGGCTCGCACATGGCCGGAGTCGACGGTGTCCTGCCACGCGGCCTCGTCATCGTCACTTTCTGGGACGCTCGTGGTGGTGGTGAGCGCCTTGGCACAGCGAATGGCCCTGCTGTCCCCGCACTCCCCGTTGAAGGTGATCTGCTGCAAGGCGAGGATGTCCTGGCACGTCTTGTTGATCGCCTCGCAGACGTGAGCCTTGGAATCCTGCTTCCCTCGGGAAGCGATCTTCATCATCTCGGCGACTCAGCCCGCCAGTGTGCCCCACGTGTTGACTTCTGGCCGCCAGGCACCTTCACGGTTGTCTCGATACTGCTCGGCCAGGGTAGCGGCTCAGACCCACATGTACTTCATCGGCGGGCCCCTGCGCGCCGTGCTCCGCGGCGAGCTGTCGCATAGGGTGGCTAGGCAGTGCCCGGCGGCCATGGCCCACTTGCCGAACCGCTGGCCCCGGTGGTCGACATCAGGAGGGTTGGCCAAGTACGCGGGTGAGCGTGCAATCCAGCTTGGGGGGCTATCGACCTGGTGTTCCACGAACATCTGGACTGCTGGATCCCAGCCGTCGAGGTCGCATGCCGCTGGCACCGTCTTGGTGTACGTGTCACTGACGCAGTGTAGATGTGCTGCCATGTCGGCCTTGCACATCCCATCCTCCAGAAACTAGTCGTACTGGTGGCGGTCCCGCTGGGCGCGTGTGACACCCTTGTGCACTTGACGCTGGACGCTCGGCACCTCGCAGTTGCGCGCCATGTTTGGTACGCGAACTTGAACTGCTCCATGTCTGGCCGAACTGGTAGACCGTAGCCCAAAATGGGGCCCCCAGGGTACCTGTCGGACGAGCCCGAAAACACGAACGAAAGGCCGGACGCTCTCGGAAAAAGATGACGTAGTCGAGAATCCTGCCGTGCCCTTTGGTGCACGTGATGCCAGCATCGCATGGCAGTAGGAAGCGGCCTTCGAGGAGCACCAGGCCATCGCGAGGATCCCATGTCCTCAGGGGTGCAATTGAAGTCTGCCAAGATGAACCACGGCACGCCCAGCGAGCGCGTCAGTCTCAACAGGTTGCCCATATCCGTGGCGCTGGCCCCCTGGAGGCCGATGCTGCAGTCCAGGTGACAGCTGATGAACGCGAAGGTGCCGTTCTAGACGCGAACGATCGTGACCGTGGCGTCTGTCAACTGGTTGTGGGAGACACTTCGCCCCGTCATGTCCGCCAAGTGCGAGAAGGTATTGAGCTCGTTGCACCGAAGCCAGCATGTGCCCCGATGCGTGCCAACACGTTTGCCAAGCGGTGCTGCCCGCTTGCTGGGGGTGACAGCTGTCCGTTTAGGCGACACGTTATCCTCCTCGTTCTCCTCCTCGTTCTCCTCCTCGTTCTCCTCCTCCTCCTCCTCTTCCTCCTCCTCCTCCTCCTCCTCCTCCTCACTCCTCCTCCTCAGTCCTCCTCTGGTGCAATCAAAAGGTACTGGCACTGCTACTCCGCAGGCCTCTCCTTGGGTGCGTTCTGCCCAAACTTTCGAGGCGAATCCAACGGTGGCGACGAAGGCCTCCTAGGAGGGCGAAGCACAGGACAACTGGCGAAAGGTAGCGGTATGGGTAACGATACGGTAACGCTTCCGCCTCTGATCCTCAGCCCTCCTCCCCTTGCGCGGCGTCCTCCGTCTTCCCCAGTCCTGCTCGAGGTGGAGGAGGAGGAGGAGGAGAGGCGGAGAGGGAGGAGGGGGAGAAGAAGGAGAGGAGGGGGAGGAGGACAAGTTAGGTGCGCTCGCGTCAACATCTGACATCCTACCCCTCCCTCCCATCCCTTACCATGGCGCTGGTTTTCTCTATCCGCGGACGCGTGTCGTAGCGGACCTGTGGCTCCGCGCGCGTGTGCGTAGTGGGTGGTGGTGCGCGTGCGTGCGTGCGTGTGTGCGTGGTTGTGGTTGTTGTGGTGGTGGTGTGTATGTGTGTGTGTGCGTGTGTGCGCGTGTGCTGTGGTGTGACGTGGTGTGGCGTCTTGGTGGTTTGGTGGTGGGCCAGGTGCGTACGTGCGCGATGGCGGTGGTGGTGGTGGCGGTGGTGTGTGTGTGTGTGTGTGTGTCTGTGTGTGTGCGTGTGTGTGTGTGTGCGCGTGTGTGTGTGTGTGTGTGTGTGTGTGTGTGTGTGTGTGTGTGTGTGTGTGTGTGTGTGTGTGTGTGTGTGTGTGTGTGTGTGTTGTGTGTGTGTGTGTGTGTGTGGTGTGTGTGTTGTGTTGTGTGAGTGCGTGCGTGCGTGCGTGCGTGCGTGCGTGCGTGCGTGCGTGCGTGCGTGCGTGCGTTGCGTGCGTGCGTGCGTGCGTGCGTGCGTGCGTGCGTGTGTGTCTGTGTGTGCGCGCGTGTGATGTGGTGTGACGCGGTGTAGCGTGGTGGTGGTGGGTGGGGTAGTGCGGTGGTGGGGGCGGTGCGCGGTGGTGGTGCGCGTGCGTGCGTGCGTGCGTTGGTGGGTGGAAGTGGCGGTGGGTGTGCGTGCGGCGGGGCGGGGCGTGGTGCGGCGCGGTGGTGGCGGGCGGATGGGCGCGCGAGAAAGAGGCCCGCGCTGGGGCGAGAACGCCATCCTGAACGACGGAGGCAAAACACCGATCCGAAAATGAGGCCCACGCTGCAGCGGGAGCACGATTCGGAACGATTCGGGAGCAGAAATGAGGCCGGCGCCTCAGCGAGAGCAGCATCTTGAAAAAAAACGCCGGCGAAAACCAAACTCCGGGGAATCGTGTGTGTAAAAAACATTACGCGGGGGGGGGGGGGGGGGGGGGG